AAATACCTGAAAACTGCGGGGCAAAGGGTTAAATATCGGGACAGACATCTGGTCACCCTACCCAGGTCTGACCTGCTTCCTGGGCTGCTTTTCTGGGCCCTCTGGCTGGCACAGCCCTGTTCCCTAGGTCAGCTTGGGCCCCTGCTCTCTCCTTAGCTCGGACCCACTCTGTCTGATCCAGGCAATTCCAGCTCACACGGCGGACGGGACCCACCCTGATTAGCCTGCCTGCCCTGTCAATCAGGCTGACCTAGAGCATTGGCCTCTCCCCATTCTTTTAGTATTGGGAGCTAGCCAACCAAAACACCCCCACTGAATGTTAGTAAGGGGAAAACAGTCCCCTTACACTTGTGTTGATATGAGTTGTGTGGTAGAGATTCATTCTGGGCCACATCGTGATTGGCTCTGGCAGGGGAATGTGGGGCAGAAGGTCGCACAAGGAACTCTCTCCCTCTTTCCCCTCCCCTCTCAGCTTCGGCAGATCATGCAAAGGCCAATCACAGAGCAGGCCCTGTGACAGGAACTGCTCGCCTCTTACCACTTTCTGAGACAAAGTCACCCGGATATGGGAGAGGAGTGGCAGGGCCAAGGGTTCAGCCCCATTGCACTGCCCTGCCAAGCAGTGCCAGCTCCCTGGGAGAGGGACCTGCACTATCCTCATTCACAGATGGGCCAGAAGGGACCCTCTTGGCCATTAGTCTGAGCTCCTGCAGGCACAGGCCAGAGAATCATCCCAGAATTTCTCCCTGTACACCCCCCACTGCAGAATTGGCCAGATCTGTTCTGGGGTTTGTTTTTTTTCACCTTCCTCTGAAGCATCAAACATTCTCCATAGCTGCAGATGGGATACCAGACAGGGCGGAGCAGTGCTCTGAACTGGTACAGAGAATTCTCTTTCTAAGTGTTTGGCTGGTGTGCCTTGCTCGCATGCTCAGGGTCAAACTGATGGCCAGGTTTCTATTTGGGAAGAAATTTCCCCCCAGGTCAGAGAGACAGGGACCTTGTTTTTTCCCCACTTTCCTTTGCAATATGGGGTGCGGATCACCTACTGGGATCACCTGGGTATCTCTCACATTTGGGTGAAATTTGATAGCCTGTGATATACAGGAGGGCAGACTAGATGATCCAATAGTCCCTTCTGGCCTTAAATTCTTTGAAAACTATGAAAATCGGCGAAGATCATTTCCAGGCTCTGCAAAGTGACATGAAATAACTTTGATGAAATGTTCCAGCTCAGTGAGAAAATCAGGACTGCTTTTGAAAGACAGCACAGATTCAGGCACAAAGAAAGAATTTATGATGGACTATTTCAGGACCAAGAAAGAGATGACCCATGAAGACAGACAGGGTCAGAGGAAACTACCTAAAGGCTCAAAAGGAGATGACAACGCAACTGTCATAGCAACTAGCTTCTGCACATGTGCTTGTATCAATAATACAGGCGGAGCTGTCACCTGCTCTCTAGCTTACTCACACTTATTCCAAAGGCATTCCACTTCTGCATAGGGACAGGGAAAACAATCGGCATCTCTAAGACACGCAGCCCTATGTGTTTGGGTTTGTATAATAAAGTATATTCAGAAAATATCTCTCTGGGTGAAGAGGGCATCAATCATACGAAGGCATTATGGAAAGTAGCAAAATCATATGGAGCTCCAGATAAGATAATTGCAATTATAAATGTTAGGTACAAAGAGTCCTGTAGTGTTGTAAGAATTAAGAAGCTGGTTTAAGTCAAAGTTTGGTGTAAGACAAGGGGGCATGGAATCATCACTGCTTTTCATCATGTTCTTTAACTGCACAGTAAGAATGTTAGATGAGTGGGAGGGTGTGACATTGGAGGATCTAGAATTAAGCTCCTTTGCTTATCCAGATGACATTGTACAACTGGCAGACACATTTGAATTAATGATAATACTCTTTGCTCCCTTGGAAAATTGTTGTAGTCCTTGTGGACGTACAATAAATGCCAAGAAGATGAAGTGGTTGTATCTTGGAAAAAGGGTAACAGATAAAGTGTTGAAAGGTAGCAGTGGTGATGTCGCAGAACAAGTAGAATGCTATGTGTATCGAGGAAGCGTGGTCACTCCACCAAGGGTTCCATCAAGGATGAAGTTAAAAGGCAATGTGTCTTAGCTACAAGTGCTGAACTGATTAAATTTATGGATTGATGAAAACATTCTGTTTGGTTCCAAAGTGAAAATGTATCAAACCAGTGTGCTAACAGGGTTACTCACTGGTCTGGAAGCAGCATCATTAAATAAAAAGACATCAGAAAGGCAGTCGAGATGAGTTCTTTGAAAGATGGCGGGTGTAAAGTGGAACAATTTAAAGACAAATGAAGAAGTTAGAAGGAGAGTAGGAAGTGAAATCAAGGTACTGGATTGGCTACAATTGACAAAATTATGATGGTGAGGACACTGCTGAAGACAAACAAATGAAAGGGTGACAAAGAAAATAATCCAAGCACAACCAAGGTCAGTTCAACCTAAAGGCTGGCCACTGACTAGATGATGAAACATGGTATGTAGGGACATGACCAGGCTAGGCAGGGGAAAGGTATCTATATAGCAAAAGTATGAGCCCACCCATCAGTTTCCTCCTCTTAAACATCAAATCAAGGGGAAAATGTAAAAAAGGTTGCATCTAATACATAAGGAAAAACCCACAACAACACAACAAGCAATGAGCTGTAATAGCAACTGGAGGTAACTTGTACCTGTACCTCAGTGATCAGTATGCTCCATCCCCAGTTCCCAAGTGCACACAGTGTTTCTAATTGGGCTGCATGCCAAATGCAGGCTCTGCCAGTTAGAAATAAGTCTTAGGGGACATGGCTTGTCTTTTTGCTGCTTATCAACTGCATCAAGTGTGGTTGGCTCCTGACTCCAGCTCACCTTTATTTTAACACATATGATGCAATAGGAAGATGTATCAATCACCACATGAGTCCCTGAACTGTTACAGCTCAGCCATCTCCACTTGACTTTCAGCATCCCACACCAGCTGTGCATATAAGTGAATCTGCAGCGCCACAGGGTATGTAATCTGGGAATGGCTTCATCGGTCATGGCAGAAGCAGCGATGAAGACCCCATTAATGTTGTGCTATGGGAAAACAGTTCCAGTCTCAGCCCATTTTTAATAATTCTGGTATCATGCACTTGGTCTCGTACTCTATGTACATGTTCAGGAACCTGCTGTGATGATTCATTGAGGCCTGCGTCACTAAATAGTACCCTTCTTGGCCATGTACTCCTGGGTTTCTCTCTTTGCAGGCACAGAAAGGGCACATGAGTTCAGTCTCTAGTGCAATACAGATTGGGAAGCCCAGTTATTTAAATCCCTCAAAGACTTTTATTGGCCTTCCGTGATTTCATGATTTTGGGCTACTTCTATGTAATGCCATGCAACTAGAGCTGAGCAAATTGATTTTTTTTTTTTTTTCTCAGGAGGCCAAACCAAATAATCCTGAAAATATTTCAGTTTGGTTCAAACAAAAACTGCATTTATTTTTGGTTTCTCTCACTGAAATGAGAAAACTGAAAAAAAATCATTTCAGTTTGAACAAAACATTTTGTTTGACTCCAAACAATTTTTTCTTCATTTTTTGTTTTGTTTTTGTTTTTTACAAAATAAATTAAATTTCTAAACAAAATTCTGTTTTTATATTGTAAGTCCAAACATTTCATTTCAAAATGGCTGAAATGAAATGTTTGACTTTTTTGAAAAAGTTTTCCATTTTTTTACTGCTCGAAACGATTTGCTGAATTCGATCTGAATTTACTAGCCTCCATCCAGCTCTAAATGCAAATTTCCATGACAGCAGCACCCAGGAGGACCTGTCTGGGGAAGCGAGTTTCCACAGCTCAGTCCTTCCAGTTGTGGTCAAGGGGCAGATCCCTAAGCAGAGCATCACTGCCTCAGTGACTCCCATCCTGGAGTGCGGTACAACATAAACTGCTCCATGAGGAGGTGTGGGGGTGGAGTTGCAACAATAACTCCCTTCACTGCTGGTCTCACTCTCTGGCTCTCCACAAGTCCTGCAGCAATCTCCTCCGCCACCATGCTGCAGAACCACAGATACCTGGCGATGACTTCAAAGCCCCAGCAGGAATCTCTCTGGGTGACAAGGTGTGCAAGTTGAGCCATCTTCCTGGCCTTTATTTTGAGACAAAGACTGAGAAATTATACCTATTGCTAGGGTCTTATGTGAGTGTCCTATGGACTTATGGGAGTTTGACATCTTCTCCCACAATTCATATGGGCTCCCAGAAGGCCTTTTGAAATCTCCCAGAAGCCACGGCTTCAGGAAGATGTGCTGGAAAGTGCAACCACAACAATAGAGTTAGTTTGGGCCCATGGTGCTCTGGGACCACACTGGTCAGTCCTACTAGTTCAGTGATCAATTCTTTACTGCCCACTTTGCCCATTGTCTAGAAATCCCTGCAGAGTAAGCTCCCAGTTTGACAACGCAGCCTTGTTCTCTGCTCAAACTCGCTAGGAAAAGTGTGAAGTAATATATCCATGTAAAGTCAGTGCATTGTGTTTGTGGGTAAACAGCACAAGTCTTTAGGCCTTGCATCAAACTCTTGTGTGTTTGGAGGGCAGTGGCTTAGTTGTTTCTGCTTGTTTTTCCTCTTAGAGGAGCAGGTGCCATATTTACCTGTCTCTGTGACTCTTGCAGGTGTCTTCAGAGGTGCAGCATGACATCCTAAGGAGGCTGTTTCAGACAGAGCCTGATGTCATTGACTATCTCTTACGCAGGAAGTTCAACACCACTCTGTAAGTCCTTGTCAAGAAAGAATTTGAAGTGCTGCTGCTGGGGTGCCTGGGCCATTAGCTTTGCAGAAACCAAGCTTTTTGCAAAATGGCAGCAAATTCACAACATCAGTGACAATTTTGCAAATTATTCCTTCTGTTCTCTTTCCTGCCTCCCTCACTCTCTCCCTCCTCCCCAACAGCCCTTTCTGCCCCCTCCCTCTGAATTCCCAGTCTTTTGTCCCCCAGGCCCCTCCTTCTCGCCAAAACATTCCCTACCCCTACTTCTTCCTGTCCCCCTCAAACAGCACATTCCCCCTCCATCTTCCCTAGGCCATTCCCTCCTTCCTGCCCTAAAAGCTGCCCTCTTCATCCCCCCACAAAAATTCCTCCCATCTTCTGTTTGCTCCCCCTCCCAAATATTCCTCTGCTCCCAATGTCTCTCTGAGGCATGCACCTACAGTGCCTCACTCAGCCCTCCTGACTCCATTCCTTTCAAGGTACATCTACACTGCAATAAAACATCTGTGACTGGCCATGTCAGCTGACTCAGGCTTGCGGAGCTCGGGCTGCGGGGCTATAAAATTGCAGTATAGATGTCTGAGCATGGGCTGGAGCCCAGGCTCTGCTACCCATTCCCTCTCCAACTCCTTCCACAAACCCATTCCAAACTACCTTCCTGGATGTTGCCTGTGCCTGCATGCATGCACCTGTTACTGTCTGCCTATGCCTACGTGCGTGTGCACCTGACAGTGTCTATGTGCACCTGTGTGAATCATGCTTGTGCCTTTGAGTTTGGCTGTGTATGCATACGTAGACTGTGTTTGTGTGTTTGTGCCTGTATTTGTGTATGTGCGGGCATCTGTGCCTCTGTGTATACATTCATAGATTTCTAGATTCCAAGGCCAGAAGGGACCACTGTGATCATCTAGTCTGACCAGCTGGATAACATAGGCCAGAGAACTTCTATCAGATTATTCCTAGAAAAACATCCAAACTTAATTTAAAAATTGCCAGTGATAGAGAATCAACCATGACCATTGTTAAATTGTTCCAATGGTTAATTTCTCTCGCCATTAAAAATGTATGCTTTATTTCCAGTCTGAATTTGTCTAACTTTAACTTCCAGGCATTGGATTGTGTTTTACCTCTCTGTACTAGATTGGACAGCCCATTATTAAATATTTGTTCCCTATGTAAATACTTATAGACTGTGATCAAGTCACTCTTTAACCTTCTCTTTGTTAAACTAAATAGATTGAACTCCTTGAGACTATTACTATAAGGTATATTTGCTTAATCATTCTTGTGGCTTTTCTCTGACCCCTCTCCAATTTATCAACATCCATCTTGAATTGTCAGTACCAGAACTGGACACAGGATTCCAGCATCGACCGGCCGCACCAGTGCCAATTAGGAGGTAAAATAACCTCTCTGCTCCTACTCGAGATTCCCCTGTTTATGCATCCCAGGATCACATTAGCCCCTTTGGTCACAGCATAGCACTAGGAGCTCATGTTCAGCTGATTATGCACCACGACCCCCCAAATCTTTTTTGGAGTCATTGCTTCCCAGGATAGAATCCCCCATCATGTAGAGATGCCTACAATCTTTGTGTAGATGGATACACTTACATTTAGCTGTTTTAGAACACACATTGTTTGCTTCTGCCCATCTTACTAAGTGATCCAGTTCGCTCTGTGTCAATGACCTGTCCTCTTCATTATTTACCACCCACCCCAATCTTTGTGCCATCTGGAAATTTTATCAGTGATGATTTTATGTTATCTTCCAGGGCATCAATAAAAATGTTAAATAGCGTAGGGCCAGGAACTGATCTCTGCAGGACCCCACCTGTAACACACCCGCTCGATGATGATTCCTTGTTTACAATTCATTTTGAGACCTATCAATTAGCTATCTTTTAATCCATTTAATTTGTGTCAAGTTAATTTGATATTGTTTTAGTTTTTTAATCAAAATGTCATATGGTAGAAATCAAATGCCCTACAGAAGTCTAAGTATATTAACTATTACCTTTACCATTCAAATTTGTAATTTTCATCAAAAAAAGATATCACCTTAGTTTGACAGGATCTATTTTCCATAAATCCATGTTGATTGGCATTAATTATAATACCCTCCTTGAATTCTTTATTAATCAAGTCCCACATCAGCTGCTCCATTATCTTGCCTGGGATCGATGTCAGGCTGACAGGCCTATAATTACCAAGCTTATCCCGTTTACCCATGCACCAGTACCTGTGTCTGCTTGTGTCTATGTGTTGTGAGACTCATAGGCCAGTTAGCTCAGGTATTTTTAGGTTGACAGGCTGCTATCCACCCAGGGCCTCAAAGATTCTCAACCCGTATGGCTTACTAAAAGAAATGTGACTGCATCAATTTTATACACTTTATTAAAATGCTTAAACTAAAATCAGACCAAGAAAACGTATCACCATACCTAAGCTATTATTAATAAATATTAAATTAACTTAAAAATAAAGCGGCTATCAAATCATGATCAATTCAACAACCCAAACAAGTTAGTCTCTATATTGGATTGGTGTGCAAGCATCAAATTAGTTAAATCATCACATTAATAACAAAAACAATCAATGCTTATAAAGTCGACAAAAGAATCTGAGAGATGGCTGTCCACTTGGTTATAAATTCCAACTAAAGAATTTCACCAATGTCAATGAAATCTATAACTTAAAGCTGCTTCAACCTCTTAATACTGAAACCAAATTATTATCTATTGTCCAAACCACAACTTCAAAGCCAATTATAAGGAATCATTTTTAGACTTAAGTTCTCCCCTCCATGCCCCCTCACTTCTCCCAAAATGTTATAATACAGACTTTAGCAGCATACTTGTGAAAAGCAGAAGTTTGACAATTATTTACCAGAAATTACAGATGACCACCTCAAGTTTCTTAGGACCTTTCGACACAGAACACACTTTCATGAGCGTGTTTGTGAGACAATATTTAGGACTGTTGAAAGCTGGGAACTTTTCTTTCTGGGGTTTTCCCTGTGTGGGCTTTATGGGTGATTAAACACAGGCATACAGTCACATGTCCACCTTCATACTCTAAAAATAAAGAAAATTAAAATGCTGGGATGCCTCCCAGTTAATAAGAAACAAAAGATTTTTTTTTTTAAGAAAAGAAAAATAAGATACTTATGATCACTGGGGTTCCAAACCTCTAGCTCTCACTATCTTCTGGAATCTCCTAGAGCAGGAGCTGAAGCTGCAGTCAAGGAGCCAGAGAGTGATGATCTGCTGGCTGAGTGCTCCTGGCTAGTAGGCCTTCTTCGGGGTACGGAGGTTGATCCAAGGCTGGCATGGCCTGGCTGTTGATGCCATAACTTCCTCTCCCCAAGGAGGCCAGTCATGGATGTTCAGCAAGGTTAGCCTGCCTTTAGGGAGCTTGTTGACTGGAAAGGTAATGCTCCTTGGACTTCCCTTGGATCTTCTGGTATATAAATTCCGCTTGCTGCACCTCTCCTTCTGGTCTTCGGACAAACCAGAAGCAAGGCCCAGTTTGACATCATGTGAGCTGGTCTAGTCAAGTTTGAATTAGGACAGCGTTAGCAAGCATCAATTGGGAAAGTCCAACTTAGCCAGCAATCTAAAAAATATCTGGTGGTTGCTTATCACAGAGACTGTTGGTCTCAAACTCTCCCGAAATACTGAAAATTCAGACAGGTGAGACAACTTTTGGTTTTATTGAGTGAAAGTTCAATATACAAACATTTATAAAAATAGCTAACAGGAAAACCCTAGCAACAGAACTAGTCGCTGAACAATAAATTAATTCATCAGCAAAATTAAAATGAATTCATACTTAAGATAAATTTAGTCATCTGCAGTTTCTTCTCTGTTATTCTAAAAAACAGACAAATGCTCTGATTCTTCTTGCAAACAAGGCAATTACAGGAAAGTGTCTATTTTGGAACTGGTCTCTAGGTCAAACAGCTTGTTATCTGAAATCTATATAGTGACAGAAAGAAGAATAGCTCATCAAGATGAAATCGATTTTAAATATGTGTATTTTATATAAAGTCAGTATGCCTATACAAGCTATTCTCCTTGCAGTATACATGCAGCGGGGCCTGTGTGTTTGCCTAGGCCTGTGTCTGCCTCTCAGTTTGTGTGTGTGTGTGTGTGTGCACGCACGTGTGTCAGCACTGCATGAGCGCATCTGGCTCTGTGTTTGTGTGTGCATATGTCTTTGGGTGCATTTGTCTGTAGTCATCGCTGCCGCCTTGCTGGTTAAAGTGGGGGTGCTTGGTGAGTGAGCCCGACCCCTGGACCACGGTGGGATGGAGTCGGAAAGTTCAATGGTCCAAAAAGTGCTGAACAGCACCACAACATCAAAGATAAAAACAGTCAAGCAGGCTAGTCAGTAAGGGGTAGCAGCAAGCTTTGCCAGTGCCCCATATGAGCTGTGCCATCTGACTGAGCCTGCCCAGTCGGAGGAGACAGCCCACTGCTTGGAGCCACTCCTGACAGCCTTTCTGAAACTTGCTTGAAGGTCTGAGTGGTTTGAAAGGTCACCCACAGTTTCTCTTTTCTCCTAGAAGCACAGACAGTGATACATCTACAGAGAAGCATCCTCGCTCCCTACTGGCCAGCCAAAACTGCGTGCTGGCAAGTGGTCAGGTTTCCTCGCATCTGTACAGCCACGTCTCATTCCTAAACCTGCATATTGAGAATAGGCAGACCCAGGGCAGCCCAAGCTCCACCCTCACTTTTAATACGTACCAAACAGGGCAACTTGTCCACCACAAAAAGAGAGACTTGGTCACCCAGGAAAGAGTAGGGACATCTTGGGAAGCATAAATCTCTGAGGGGACTTCTCCATTCGCAGTTATCAGCCTTCTAATTCATATCAGTGCAGCTCCCCAGGTGGGAGGCACTAGTATAAATTGCACAGATGTTTCACTGCCATATAGCAGAGCTAGACCAGATAGTGCTACACATGTAGGAGCCCTGTCTACATTAGTACTCTCACTGTTGCTGCCCTAGGGAATTACATTCTGATTTTTGCCAATGTAGACAAGACCTAAGGATACATTAAGCTGAATTCCTGTCTGGCCTCGCCAATGATTAGCAAGAACATACAGAACATGTAGAGTTATTTAAAGGGTCTTCTGTAAAATTCTTGTTTGTTAAAGTCTGCTGGAGAGTTAGCATATCACAAAGCTCTGTGCGCGCGTGTGTTCAGGAGGCAGTGTGCGCGCAATGGCAGGGAAAGCACAGTTTGTGTGTCTGTGAGGCATGATGGCAGTTTGTGCCTGCTGCTGGTAGCAAGCCTAAAATGCCTTGGTGCTGCATTTTCATCTATCAAGAAACCTAAGCTGGTGCAGAATATGGCACCTGTTTGCTAACGTGAGCAGTGCATCTAGTGGCAGCTCAAGTTTCCTGTGCTCCAGGATCTGCCTGTTGGTTTCTGGGTGGAGTTTAAGGTGTTGGTTTTGGCCTATAAAGCCCTGACCTGCTTGGAGCTGCCTACCTGAAAGGCATTGCTGCCCATGCTGTGCTGCCACTAGCAGAGGCCCTTGAGCTGGACCCTTATATAGGGTTACCATATTTCAGCAAGCAAAAAAGAGGACGGGAGGAGCCCC